TTGTGACTGATTTGATTTGAAAAATATCATCACTTGGTTAAGGTTAGAATTCTTTCGAGAAGTCTAGATAACAATCATGATAACAGTTAAAGAATATTCATTTTCCTTTTTGCGTCACTGCCTATTTTGGACTATTTTGCCATGGATTCAATTGTTTACACTTTTCCATTGCATATAACTTTGATCCCTCACCTATTAGATAAGTCGACACATCCATAGCCTGTCCAGACTTCATATGTACAGTCTTACAGATTATTGCATGTTTTATTAATGACACAAACTGGGCTATAGAGCCAGACCACCACCACACCTGGGCTAGCTAGCTGAGATGCATGAATACAAACTAGCCTGCTCAACGTGCTATGTCAGAGCTGGCCCTGGAGTTTTGGATTGCACTCTTCATACTGAAGAGCGTAAATGCAAAAAAGAATGTGTTACTGGGCAGAATAAAGCATTCAGCGGACAGAATGTGGAAGCTCATCCGACCGAGGCCAACAAAAACTCAATATGTCAGACCTTATTATATTTGCAAAATGTACAGAAAATGTCTTCACTAGTTACAAAAGACAACACCAAACTATCCATTAAAAAAACAAGGGTGGGTGTCAGTATAGGGGTTTGGTATAGTCTGTCCCCCGACGGGGAGATACTCGTGTATATTCTACTCTGTGAGTCGCTTTGGATAAAAGCCTTTATGCTAAATACATAAACATAAACATAAGGAGAGTTGGCTGAGGTGAACTTGGGACAGAAAATAGCCACATCGGAGGCCTCCAGCTTTCCTATTCACCACTCAGCCAGATTAGGCTGTTGATAGTTACACATTAATTGGAGCAGCTACTGTTTCCAGCCTCCTTTCCCTGTCCGACCTTTGCTTTCCCAGAAGTTTGCCTGCCTGAAGTTGTTTCCTTTTGTGTAATAAACAAGAGCTGGTAACTCCGACCAGAGCTCCGGCCCCGTGGCTTTCTGATGCCACATGGACTGTCTCTGAGGATCTAAAGATTCAAAGGAGAGATTTGATACTGGCTGAGGGTTAGATAACGTTCCAGGATAAAAGGCAGCTTTCCATGGAAAGGTTTAATCAAAATTATGCTAAATCTCTGTGGTCCACTGCCAGGCAACAAAGACAGATTGATCAAGAAGTCCAGCATTTGAGTGTTTATTGTCTGGTTGAGTTAGATCTAAAACACGAGCTGATGGTTTAAACTGTTAGCTCAGAGAGATTCACTGAACAGAACCAGGTTCTAAAGGTACTTCTGAAGCTGCTGGACTCACCGATAGCTCAGTGATGGCAGTGGGAAGAAATCCACGATTCTCCTCTCTGAAAGAAACTATTTTCTTGGTATATTTAAGAAAAAAAAAAGAGTTAATGAAATCATCACTGCTGAGATTTAAAGGTTCTGACTCTGTCTGCCGGAATAACTAAAAGAAACCTGGAGTATTCGTACTCTCATCTGTATGTGACAAATAAGAAGCGGTTTTAGCTTCAGGTAGGGCTTTCTTATCTGATTTATGTTATGTTACAGGCTTCTCTGACAGATACTGCCATTTCATTTTACCAGAAGCCATGTGGCCAAACACTGTAAGCATGAATGTCATCAGAAAGCCCTCCGATGAGACAGGATTAGGAGGAAACAGCGTTAATATTTCACCAGATCAGAGTGTGAGTCAGTGGACTAACCTTGGCTCCAGGACTGAACAGTAACCCTGATCTGGAGACAGCTGCCAACTCCTCAAGAGATCCCAAACGAGAGGAGAGTTGGTTTAAAAAAAACAAAAACAGGAAACGACCAGACCAAGACGTGACTAAACTAAAGCAGAGACCTCCAGGCGGGGCGCAGCCCCCCAGTCTCAGCCTGTGTGTTTCAGGAGGAGTGACCCTCTTCTGCCGGGGTGGACTGCATGGGAAAAGTGGATACTTGGTTATTTTGAACTCAGGCAGTAACAGAGCAGCTAATGTTAAGGACTTTGAAACCTTTATGGTGCTCGGTATTTTGGCTCATGGACGGTAAAACTGTTCAATGTCAAGGTGAAATACCTGTTCTGCCTCATCAAATGCCAGAAAACCCCAGACCCAGGTGGCATTTCAGCAGAATTTCAGAAAGAATTCTGATCAAAAACTGCACCAACATTTCATAAAATGTGTGAGACATAAAAGAGAGGGACGTATTACTCCCCAAAATGGACTCTGCTGCCCTCTGCTAGAACCAAAACACTCAAACAGGCTGTTTTAGTTCAAAACTCTGCATGAATTTGGATTCATTGTGAGTTTAGGGAATAGAAAGTACTTCTTTGTAAGTTAAATAAAGAAGATGGCAGATGGAGGAGACCTGGCTGTGATTCATCCAGGAGCGGCTGCTGTCTGAACGGAGGCGACGTGGCGAGGCGGGGGGGGGGGGGGGGCAGCGTGAAAAAGGCCCGTCACCATGAGTTATGACGAGGTGAGAGCCAGACTTTCCACGCTGTCCTGTCAGATTACAGAGACCTGGTCAATAAGACAAACGCAGAACATCAGATATCAGCAGCCTCATTAAACCTAAACCTGCGTTTTTTTGTGTTGTTATGTATTTATAAGAAAACAACAGCCAGAAGAAGTCAATACAAACGGTCTAATTCTTCAGTTTCTCCCACTGTGGAGCACAATCATCTAACTGCTACTGGGTGAGTTCAGGCGGGACTAATGTGGAAAACTGATATTATCATGTTGGATAGCCTGCCCTAACACACGTCTGTCCAATCTGCACCTCTGAAACGGTCCATTTTAATCATGATTGTTACCTAAGAAAGACTCTAAAACACATTTATACTCTAAACTATTTTTTGCCGGACGTATGAGGGGAATAGAAATAGAAATGCCCAATTTTTTAGCAATGTGGAGATGAAAAGAGTCAGGAAGCTTTTGGATTCAGAAGATCGCACCCTGAGGACTTTTGATGAAGGAGCGCCCTCTGGTGGAGACTGTCTTACATCTTCTTCAGGTTTCGTTCTCTCCATTAAAAGTGGACTACTGCATGTTTCTTTTGAGCTAATTAAACCTCCCATCCCTCCAAAGTCACATTTTATACATATTGCACCTTTCGTTTTGACCACACCACACTTCTTATTGTCACCATCCAGGTGTGCTATCTGTGATGTCCAGATGTTTTGGATGAACTTCCATTGTTTGGTTGTTTAATGGCTCCCACACATTCACACACTCTGACCCGATTCCTCAGTTTATCCCCAGACCTGTTCCAGTCCTGTCCCAGTCCCCTGTCCTGGACCTGTTCCAGCCCCCTGTTCCAGTCCTGTCCCAGTCCTGTCCCAGTCCTGTCCCAGTCATGTTCCAGACCTGTCCCAGCCCTGTTCCAGACCTGTCTCAGTCCTGTCCCAGACCTGTCCCAGTCCTGTCCCAGACCTGTCCCAGACCTGTTGCAGTCCTGTCCCAGTCCTGTCCCAGTCCTGTCCCAGTCCTGTTCCAGATCTGTCTCAGTCCTGTTCCAGACCTGTTCCAGCCCTGTCCCAGTCCTGTTCCAGACCTGTCCCAGCTCCCTGTCCCAGACCTGTCCCAGTCCTGTTCCAGACCTGTCCCAGTCCTGTTCCAGTCCTGTTCCAGACCTGTCCCAGCTCCCTGTCCCAGTTATGTCCCAGTTCTGTCCCACCCCCCTTTTCCAGTCCTGTCCCAGTCTGGTCCCAGACCTGTCAGCTGCTCTCCTCCATGTTTTTCAACCTGTCCTGTCAGTGCACGCGCTGTAGAACGCGGGTGACGCAGGGGCGTGCGCGTTCATCACGCGCCTGAAGCCTTTAGTGATCAGGGACCGGGCGGTCCTTCAGTGAGACCGGGAGAGGGCAGGAGGAGGGCCACCGATCCGGGACCCCCCCGGGAGAGACGCGCGTAACCGGCAGAGTGGAAACGAGCGGGGACGCGCACGGGAGCAGTTCTGGGAGGATGACGAGCCCCGGCCCGTGTCACACCGCGAGGGACGGGGGGGACCAGGGGGCCGCGACCCCGGATGAGGCCTGACGGCCGCAGAGGACCCGGACAGCCGCGGGGGGGCCGGGCGGACCGGACCCGGGCGCGCGGACCGGACCCGGGCGCGCGGACAGGCGCGCGGCGCTCAGGTGGGTGACCCGCTTAGGGGAGGGGGGTGGGGGGGGTGGGGGGGGTCTATTTAAGACAGAAGAGCGCAAACATAGTGTTCTTTGGTTCTCCCTCGGGGCTTTCAGAAAGCATGCACAGAAAACAGATCCCAGCTTTGGAGCCATTTGACCTAGTCCTAACTCTGAGACGCAGACAACCCGGGCTGTCCCGGGATATTCCTTTAAACAAGACTGCCATT